TCTCGAACCCACGGTCTCAGGCAATCCACTCACCTCAGCCTCCCAAAGGCGCGGGATTACAGGCTGAGCCACCAAGCCCGGCAAAATTTTTTTTTTTAATTAGCTGGGCATGGTAGTAACACCTGTAGTCCCAGCTACTTGGGAGGTTGAGTTGAGAGGATTGCTTGAGCCCAGGAGGTTGAGGCTGTGGTGAGCAGTGGTCATCACCACTGCACTCCAATCAGGGTAACACAAGACCTTGTTTCTTTCCTTTTTTTTTTGAGTTGGAGTCTCACTCTGTCGCCCAGACTGGAGTGCAGTGGCATGCTCCTGGCCACCGCAGCCTTGACCTGCTGGGCTCTGGTGATCCTTCCGCCTCAGTCTTCCGAGTAGCTGGAACTACAGGTGCACGCTACCACGCCTGGCTAATTTTTTATTTATTGTCGAGACAGGTCTTGCCAAGTTGCCCAGGTGGGTCTCAACCCCCGCAGGCTCAGGCAATCCACTCGCCTCGGCCTCCCAAAGTGCTGGGATTACAGGCTGAGCCACCGAGCCCCGCCAAGACCTTGTTTCTTAAGAAAAAAAGGAGAAGGGAGGGAAGTGGGAGGGAGGGATAGAGAGAGGAAGGAAAACTTGAGATAAACAAATAAGATCCAGTGTGTGTTGGCAATACAGATGCTGTCTCAAAAAAAACATGAAAGAAAGGGAGGAAGGGAACAAAGAAGGGAGCGAGGGTTGGAGGGAGGGAGGAAGGGAAGAAGATAAAGAAGCAACACAGTGTGGACTTTTCGGGACCTGGGGTCCCTCTATGAAGTGGGGGCACGTCCATCGAGCTCACCGGGCACAGGACTCGCCACCCATTTGCTCCACAACCCGGTCCACACTGATGCTGGTCCCACCCCATCTCAGGGCTTGAGGTGAACGGAACCCAGGCCTTTCGACCATCCAAGGCAAGAAGATGGCCAGGCAAGGGTGGCTTCTGGCAAACAATTGTGCTGGGCTCTAGGTTATACTGCAGGGGGCTTGACGGTGCCCCAACTCTCTCTGCAAGTTACTTCCAAAAGCGGTAGCATCCTTCCCTACCACTGGCCTATCTACCATCTGCCAGTCATGCACCATCAATTCCTTGATCACCCACCCATCCG